TGGTACTTCTTCAACCCACACAATACTTTAAACATTGTCTATTTTAATATTAAATTTTCTTTCATATGACAGCTAAAATACCATGTGAAATAGCAAATCCATTATTGTATTACATATTCATATTCTCAAGGAATAATGTAAAAAAAATATATTTTTATCGTCCTTTTATAAAAAAGAACTTGTAAATTCATCAGGAGAATTTTTATCTGAAAGTATTTCGTTCGATGGTATTTTTGCGATAATCTGAAAATGCTCTTTCACAATAAAGGGAATCAAGATCAGCAAAATGTATATATATATATATAAGGATCTTTGAAATGAAGAGAAACCAGCTATGATATCGACAAGGGAATCGATTACCGGTCCGCAGTATAAAGTGCTTATTTTCATATCGTTACCAAGAGAGTGCAGATGAAACGTGAACATATCTTGCGTTTATAAACGTCTCAACATGCATATTAGCCATAGTCGGCAGATCCTGGTAGATATACGCAAACGCGCGCGAGACAAATTGAAGTTTTTCGCGAACGAACCTGTCCTCGCTTTACAGAGAGATACCCTTCTGGCCTCCCTTCTTCACCGCACACTAAACTGGCTTTTGCCATTTCTCTCTATATATACAAACCGCGAGCCTGTTTTAACCGCTGTACGTGTCCTGTGACTCTTATACATTTACCATAATATAAATTTTTATCTTAAAATTTTAACCAGGGATGGAGAGGTACAAAAAATTTTTTTTTTACAGATTTAGAGTATTTTCAAAAATATATTCATAATCATGGCATGAAAATCTTTTGTCTTCTTCTTCTTCTCAAGTTTCAAGATGTGATGAAGCAATACAATAATTCATAGAAGGATAAAGAAATATTGAATTGGCTTCAGAAGCAGCTGGACATCTGGACAATTATATATATATATGAAACCAAAGGACCCCGTGAAAGTGCCAAGGGCCCTTTTGCTGCTGCTAAAAAATTTTCTTTTATTGTAACCATCTCATCGAGTTTTTTTTTCTTGCAAAAGTCGAAGTCCGTTGAGAGCGTAGGGCGCTCACACAATGACTATACAGGTTTCCTAATACGGCCAACACGATTTCGAGGTCCACGTCGATGAAAAAAAGAGGAATTTTGGCGACCACGAAGGACCCTGAAGGGACGGGCGCGTTAGACGAACGTTGAGCAAAAATTTAATAACCAACGCGCAACTCTTGATGCTACTACTACCTTTTATTCTCCTTCAGGTAGAATAACCGCGCCTCAAAATGGCAACCTGCAGTAACTGTCGTCTTGAATTTAATTTGTGGCGTCGTGATTACACACGATGGACCAGCAATTGAGAGCCACGCACGTGCACATACTTCTTAAGGGCACAATAGAATTGTTCTCAGAAAGTCCGCCAAAGATAAATAAAGCTCACTTCGCAGCAAATCACTCTCGCACTGTCGCTCTCCACCACCACCACCACCACTACCATCTTAACAAGAACAACTCTTCTTCAATAGAGTTGAAAAAAATAATTATTACAATTCTACTATGTTGATCTGTGATGAAGAAAATTTTTAATTCACTTGACGTTGAATTCACTGGATTATCCTGAGCTGAATAATTATCATTTACTAATAATGAATTTTTTTTTTTTGCAGGGTGAGTGCTGAAACCAAATTAGACCAAAAATAGTCAACAAAGATGAAGGAACGGAAGGTGAAGAAGTATTTTCATATTAGATGATGAATAATTTTAAAAAATTGTCAGGATCAGGACTAAAACCAAATTAGACCAAAAATAGTGAATAGTGCGAAGATAAAGGTAAGGAAGGTAGAAAAGTATTTTCATATTAGATGATGAATAATTAAAAATAATTGTCAGAATCATTGCTGAAACCAAATTATACTGAAAATTCTGAACGGGACGAGAATAAAGGTAAGGGAAGTAGAAAAGTATTTTCATATTAGATGATGAATAATTAAAAATAATTGTCAGGATTATGGCTAAAACCAAATTAGACCAAAAATAATTAACAGGACGATGATGAAGGTAAGGAAACCGTAAAAGTATTTTCATATTAGATGATGAATAATTTAAAAAAATTGTCAGGATCAGGACTAAAACAAAATTAGACCAAAAATGGTGAACAGTGCGAAGATAAAGGTAAGGAAGGTAGAAAAGTATTTTCATACTAGATGATGAATAATTAAAAATAATTGTCAGGATTATGACTAAAACCAAATTATACTGAAAATTCTGAACGGGGCGAGAATAAAGGTAAGGGAAGTAGAAAAGTATTTTCATATTAGATGATGAATAATTAAAAATAATTGTCAGGATTATGGCTAAAACCAAATTAGACCAAAAATAATTAACAGGACGATGATGAAGGTAAGGAAACCGTAAAAGTATATTCATATTAGATGATGAATAATTTACAAAAATTGTCAGGATCAGGACTAAAACAAAATTAGACCAAAAATAGTGAACAGTACGAAGATAAAGGTAAGGAAGGTAGAAAAGTATTTTCATATTAGATGATGAATAATTAAAAATAATTGTCAGAATCATTGCTGAAACCAAATTATACTGAAAATTCTGAACGGGACGAGAATAAAGGTAAGGGAAGTAGAAAAGTATTTTCATATTAGATGATGAATAATTAAAAATAAGTGTCAGAATTAGGGCTAAAACCAAATTAGACCAGAATTAGTGGAGTGGACGAAGAGATGAAGGTAAGGAAACCGTAAAAGCATTTTCATATTAGATGATGAATAATTTTAAAAAATTGTCAGGATCAGGACTGAAACAAAATTAGACCAAAAATAGTGAACAGTACGAAGATAAAGGTAAGGAAGGTAGAAAAGTATTTTCATATTAGATGATGAATAATTAAAAATAATTGTCAGAATCATTGCTGAAACCAAATTATACTGAAAATTCTGAACGGGACGAGAATAAAGGTAAGGGAAGTAGAAAAGTATTTTCATATTAGATGAGGAATAATTAAAAATAAGTGTCAGAATTAGGGCTAAAACCAAATTAGACCAGAATTAGTGGAGTGGACGAAGAGATGAAGGTAAGGAAAGTGGAAAAGTATTTTCATATTAGATGATGAATAATTCAAAAAAATTAAAGGTCAGTGGTAAAAACAATTTAGAGTAAAAATAGTGAACGGGACGAAAATAATAAGGTAGGGGAAATAGAAAAGTATTTTCATATTAGATGATGAATAATTAAAAATAATTGTCAGGATTATGGCTAAAACCAAATTAGACCAGAATTAGTGGAGTGGACGAAGAGATGAAGGTAAGGAAAGTGAAAAAGTATTTTCATATTAGATGATGAATAATTAAAAAAAATTAAGGGTCAGTGGTAAAAACAATTTAGACTAAAAATAGTGAACGGGACGAAAATAATAAGGTAGGGGAAATTAGAAACGTATTTTCATATTAGATGATGAATAATTAAAAATAATTGTCAGGATTATGGCTAAAACCAAATTAGACCAAAAATAATTAACAGGACGATGATGAAGGTAAGGAAACCGTAAAAGTATTTTCATATTAGATGATGAATAATTTTTAAAAATTGTCAGGATCAGGACTAAAACCAAATTAGACCAAAAATAGTGAACAGTGCGAAGATAAAGGTAAGGAAGGTAGAAAAGTATTTTCATATTAGATGATGAATAATTAAAAATAATTGTCAGAATTAGGGCTAAAACCAAATTAGACCAAAAATATTGGAGTGGACGAAGAGATGAAGGTAAGGAAAGTGGAAAAGTATTTCCATATCAGATGATGAATAATTAAAAATAATTGTTAGAATTAGGGCTAAAACCAAATTAGACCAGAAATAGTGGAGTGGACGAAGAGATGAAGGTAAGGAAAGTGGAAAAGTATTTTCATATTAGATGATGAATAATTCAAAAAAAATTAAGGGTCAGTGGTAAAAACAATTTAGACTAAAAATAGTGAACGGGACGAAAATAATAAGGTAGGGAAGTAGAAAAGTATTTTCATATTAGATGATGAATAATTAAAAATAATTGTCAGAATTAGGGCTAAAACCAAATTAGACCAAAAATAATTAACAGAACGATGATGAAGGTACTCTCTAAATCTGAATTAGTAAAAATGTTTACTAATTTGAATTAGTGACTCACTTTTTGCTTTAGAATTAGTTAAATTTTACTAATTAAAAGTTACTGATAATTAGTAAAATTTCACTAATTCAGAAGCAAAAAGTGAGTCACCAATTCAAATTTGTAAACATTTTTACTAATTCAGATTTAGAGAGAAAGGAAACCGTAAAAGTATTTTCACATTAGATGATGAATAATTTAAAAAATTGTCAGATTCAGAGCTATTTTAGATAATTGCGTAAAAATTCACCATCAAAATTTATTTCTAATTTAACGGAAACTACGATAACTACTTAATGTTTGCGCGAAGATGTTGGATATAGGATAATAAAAAAGTTTCCAAGGTGAGCTGGAGATGCGTGAATGGGGGGTATGCATGAATGGGACCCTTCTAACGCACGTATATAAACGCACACATTTTTGATACTTGTATATATCCTTTCATTACTTTGGATTCGCTCGACCACCCTTGGCTTCAAATGTGTAAGAAACATACATATATATATATATATATATACATTATACTCTTACCAATGCGCATATACCTGTCCTTTGGACGTGATTGCCGATCCGAATGCACAAGTTGACCACATCAAGCGATATCGCTACTTGCAATCGCGGCGGATCGCTTTATTTTTGCTGCTGCCCCAAGGACCAAAGAGATTTATTTTCGACAAATAGAAACTCATTTAACTCCAAATGACTAAAGAAATTTACAGTCAATTAAAAAAAAGTTTCTCTTATATACTAATTTTTGTTTTATGAATTTTTTTTTATTTAAATTTATTTAGTTAGGTTTCTTTTTCTCTCCAACTTAAAAAAGAAAAATAATTTTTATTGTCAGGTTAGTATAGAACGAAAAAAATTGAAAATTTGTTCAATATTTCATATATTTAATATATAACAGTACATCTTCATTAAAAGCTATATATATATAAAGAATGATCTCTCTGTACAATGAGCATTCGTGTAAGACGATTTGTATAACATACAATTTATTTGTGTTTATGTTTGTAGTGTAGCGTGAAAAATACGAGTCTTGTTCGGACGGTTTCTTGCTTTTCCTTTTTTTTTTCATTTGCAAGCATGAAATGGCACATTTTGTACAGCTGATTTTTTTTATAACGATTATTGTATAAAGCTCCTAAAATTTTAAACCGCCAATTAAATTAAAAAAAAAAAAAATCTCCGATGTAATGAGAGTATATAAATAAAGACTAGACTTCGTTAGATTCCGTTATTATATAACAATAATATAACGTATATATAGTTTACAAAAATATGATAACAATGACATTTTTATCACTCTTCATTTTACAAATGCACAAATCCCTCGCTCTCTTTTTCTCAATACACCAATAAGTGCCGTCGATTCAAAAATTTTTTTTAATAATTTAATTTTCTTTTCATTTAAATCCTTATTTGAATTGGAATTTTTTATTTACAATTTTTTTTTTTAAATGTGACTAATGTTAGTGATGCTACTCACATTTGTTGATTAAGATTTAAATGTGTTTTTAAAAAAAAAAAAAAAGTAAGACGCGAATTAACAATTTAAATTTTTTTTTTTTCAATATAATGTGGGTGCTGATCAATTCGACCGACTGACACGACCACTCTTTGGTGAACACATTCTTGCGCTCTTCATATTACACCCTATTTACATTCCAGTCTCCCATCTTTGGCACAAAGCTATGTATTCAAATTTACAGGATTCATTATTTAATCGATGACAAGGACATGAATTTTTCTCATTTATATACACTTTCATTAATTCTTTGTGTGAATAAGGCGTTCTTTGTATAATGTATTTTTAAATGCACTAAAACCTAATTAGTAGTAGCACCATACCATTTTTTTTTTTTTTGCAAATACATATATTTATCATAATTGTCACGCAAATTATTCAATTTTTATTATTATCTTCGAGTGGGTACAGATGCTCACCTATTTTCTCTGTTAAAGGAAATTTTTTCCTGCACTAACTCTTCTCACATTTCAATGTTATTTCATCATTACACATCATCTACAGTATAAAAATAATTATTATCACTGTTTCACGTAGAAATCTGGCAATTGTTAGCTTTATAATAATTGCTTTATAGCAAAGATGATTGACAGTCTAATAATTCGATTAAATAGATAAAAAAAAAAACATTCTCAGTAACAATTTTTGATTATAATTATCATTTATTGATAATCGAATCTTTTTTTGCAGGGTCAGTGCTGAAACCGAATTAGACGAAAAATAGTCAACGAAGATGAAGGTAAGGAAGGTGAAAAAGTATTTTCATATTAGATGATGAATAATTAAAAATAATTGTCAGGATCATTACTGAAACCAAAATAAGACTAAAAATACAGTGAAACACGTACATCGGACCCGCATTATTCGAATTCTCGCTTAAACCGGATATTTTTCCGGTCCCTTGAAATCCGATATACGTGGGTTTCACTGTAGATGGTTAAAAAAAATTAACGTAAAAAATTTTGAAAAATAAAAAATTACCGACCTAGAAATCTATCTTACCGACTGATGGTAAAGAAATTTTTTTCCAACACTGCAAAAAGATGTATCTTATTATAAGACACATTGGAAGCCAATTACCAAAAGCATCTTCCTATTCATCTTACATCTTAAGAAACTAATGCATTTTAATATGTTTTTGATAACTTAGAAGCAAGTTGTAAAAAACATCTTAAAATGGCGACCAAAACATCTCAAAATAAGATACTTCTTTTTGCAGTGAAAATGCTAATATAAAAAATTACCGACATAGAAATCTACCATACCAACAATGGGACGAGGATAAAGGTAAGGAAAGTGGAAAAGTATTTTCATATTATATGATGAATAATTCAAAATAATTGTCAGAATCAGTGCTGAAACCAAATTATACTGAAAATTCTGAACGGGACGAGAATAAAGGTAAGGGAAGTAGAAAAGTATTTTCATATTAGATGATGAATAATTAAAAATAATTGTCAGAATTAGGGCTAAAACCAAATTAGACCAAAAATAATTAACAGGATGATGATGAAGGTAAGGAAACCGTAAAAGTATTTTCATATTAGATGATGAATAATTAAAAAAAAACTAAAAACCACTAATTATACTGAAGAAGTCAAAGGTAAGTAAGATGGAAAAGTTTTTTCATGCTAAGATGATGAATAATTAAAAAAAAATTTAGCATTTATAGAATAGTTTTTCATTAACTTCCAGTAGTAAAATTTTAATTTTTTTAAATGACACTTTTCCCATAAAATCTTTTCAAATATTTCTAAAACTTTTAATTACCAAAATTCAGTTTCAGAACCACCTTTTTTTAAAAAAAAGAATTAAAATAAATATCTTAAAAAAGAAGTAATTTTTTAGTAAAATATCTTTCTTCATTTTTCTCTAAGGCAAGTTATAAAGCTATATATATATGTATTGATTTTATAGAAACATTGTAGAATCGTTGACTGTTTAATTGACATACCGCATACGACAGGTTGAACAGAAAGTCGCAGAGAACATAGTATATAGTGTATAGATTGAGCAATTTTCTCTCGCACGACACTCTTCCTAGCACAAATAAAAGCTGAACACGAGTCGCCAAGCGTTTTACACCGGATCATAGAATCCATTCTTGGAACTCACTCGCACTCATTCATTGCAAACAATGATGATCATGATCGCCTCTTATAACTCAATCAATTGACTTTTAATCCACTAACCGACGCTTATTAAATTTGTGTTTCTATTTTTTTGCTTTACTTTTCAAAAATTTTTTTTCCCTGCGTCTTATAATTAAAGAAAAAAAAATGAGACACACGTGAAAAAAAACCATGTCGCGGAGAAACTCACAATCACGAGAAATCGTACAACACTTCCGGTCGTTATTTCTTTTCTTCATAAATTGTTGTGGAATTTCACTTGAAATCCATTTAAATCAATAAATTTGTGAAATTTTTGCCGCTAAAATAACTTGCAGTCACTTTATGTAAAAGAGTGATGGAAAAAGTTCAAGATTTAAGAGAAAGAGAGCCTTGGAACGAAAAGTATATTAATGTTCAAGGGGGAGGAGTTATAGGAGTCGTGAAGGAACAGAAAAAAGTAGAAGTGATGCATACAAGAAATATATGAGATGGTCGAATGGAGGGATTAAAACGAAGGACGTCAAGGTAAGAAGTTCAAAAAAGAAGAAAATGAGATCAGAGAAACATGGGAGGAAAAAAGGGACAAACGTGGATTTATCTAAAAGAGTAAGAGATAAGAAATATGGGCAGCATTGGAAAAAAGCGATCATTTTCCAATTTTTTTTTTCGATAAATCTTTTTTCTAGTCGATTCTAAAACATTGTTTTTGTCAAATTACAGTCTTACGAACTGAGAGTTCTTGTTTCCTCAAGAAGACCCGGTGGAATTTCCACTATTGAATGAGGACTTGGTGAACTAGCTGTGGTGGGATCACTTTCATCGGCATCGTGATTAACCTCTTCACCGCCAGTTAATTCGCGCACATTACCCGGAAGATAGTCTTTCCAACTTCGAAAAAGATATCTTGTAAATTTTCTCAACTGACGAAATTTACAATAAGTTGCACCTTCAGCCGATTCTAATTGTTGGGTTTGTATTAAAAAGCCCTTTTCCTTGAAGGTTTGTTCGAGTTTTTCTCTTTGAATGGATTTTCTTGTTTTTCTCTTTCTTCGACCATCGTCAAGAGTGGGTGATCTTGGACATGTGGGAGTTGTAATTCTCTCGGCTGCAGCATTTAAAAATGCTCCAGTTGATGATCCAGCTTGTCCTGCTGGCTGTTGAAGAGCTTCTCTTGGAAAGAATTCATAACCCCTCATACTTTTATCACCAGTTCCACTATAGTATCTAAAATTTCCACCAGCATCAACGGAGAGACTTTTTTTCTCTTGGAGTGTTGGTTTAGCACCACCGGTGAATTTAAATTTACAAATACTAACCTCAGTGGTTGGATTATTATTGTTTTCGGTTGGCATCGGTGGAATGAAAATTGCTGATCTTTTTCGTTTTGTCGGTTGAGCTGGATTTGACGATGGGGCATTTCTTTTTGGTCGAGGAGACACTGGCGATGGGGTTGACGTTGGAGTTGATGGCGAAGGTACTGGAGTGGGATTATTATTATCCAACATTGAGTACAATGATTTGGGGACAATTTTCTGTTCTTTTGGTGAAGTATCCGGTTTAGGTGAGTTCTTTTCGTTTTGTGCCATTTTTTGATAGTAGAGAAATTGTGATTGAAGAGCCATGGGATGAATGAAGACACCAGCGTTTGGCCAGTAGACAAAACCAGGATTAGGATTCGTTGGGTCATTATTATTGTTGACGACATTGTTATTGGTTTCTTGTCTAATGGGATCGTATGAAGCGCCTAGACATTCGATATCTTCATTGTCACTAGAGGCCTCACTTTTTAGCTGACCGGACTCGTAGACATTACCATGTTTCCTCAGTAGTCGTATTTTTAATTGATTTAAATCCCGTACACAAAGATTTAGTGGTTCGTCCTGTTCCTTTAAAGAATCTAAACCAAGACTCCTACGTGATTCCTGTGTAAGCCTCTTTTCTAAAAGACTACTGATTCTATTTTGTATATCAGTTCGTTGAAACGGAATATGAGCATCTTTATCAAGCTTCTCTCTAGGTGCTTTTATTTCCTCCCGTCCTGGTGTTCCCGGTAAAATGGTCCCATAATTTTTGTATATAAGATGACAGATGTCTGCTTTCTTCGGCTTTCTACCTCTTCTGGGTTTGCTATTGTCAAGAGTAATTTCCCCCATGTAGGGAAGATCGGAATATTTCATTGGTGGTCTTGGAGTAGGTTGCGACTGCTGATGATTTCCATAAGGCTGAGAAGAGGATGTTATCACTGATCTTCTAGAATTTCCAAAATTATTATTTGGCTGTGGACTCGGTGGCAGTGGAGGACAAAGTTCCTGTTGCATTGCCGCTATTCTTTGAAGCCATCCATGAACATCAGAAATGGGGCTTGGGGTCGAAGTGGAAGTAGTTGGAGCCGGACTAGGCGAAGTCTCCGAAACTGATGTCGGTGATGAATTTAACGCTTCTTGAGCTAATGCTGCTTCATAATGATCCAAATACTCTGGTGGCAGTGCTTGATGATGAAATTTAAGCTTCCACCTTGACTTTCTGCGACCTCGACTGTAACATAATAAAAATTGTATCCTTAAAGATTATATTGTCGATAATAGAATTGAAAATTAAAACGTATTATAGGTGTCGGAAAAATAATAACTGAGTTCCATTTGAATCGGAGTTGTCTATTACTGCATTCCAGCCACTCCTTAATTGCAATTTATAATGCAAAATAACACCTTCAACCGTGGGCAGTACTACTTCCCTCCACTGCTCTCGGGACAAATTTAATGAAATTCAATATAACGGTTAATCGTCTCGCGGCATTTCATCGCGTTGATCAATAAACTGATCTTGCCGAACCAGTTCTATCGGTCTGATTAGCAATTGACTATATATACAAAATATCGCAATCGGTCCTCATTATCGGAGCGACATAATAATTCGTCAATGAATCGTGGAAAGTAACTTCCATTTTTTCAAATATCGAAAATCCAACTTCAAGCGGAGATAATAAATTATTTTTCTTTTGCCCCGGATATTTGTTAAGAAAAAACTGAAGAATATTGCATTTTACTCTAATAAAAGAAGGATGTGAATAAATTACAATAAATCATAAGAATATTAACCTGGGCCTAGCTCTGTTGGAATTGTCCTGAGGCGATTGTCCTGTACTGACATCGTGCACCTGCTGATTGCCCTGTAGTTGATGATTAACATCACCAGAGAATGATGTCTCCAATTCGGGTCTGTAAAAAGTTATTAAACATTACTTAATTTTGAATTCAAATTTATATTAACTGTTTTATTTTAGATATGAGAAGAAGGGGTATACAAGAGGAACCGTCAAGAAAAAGTTTTTCATACTAGATAATGAATAATTAAATTAAAAAAAATATTGACAGATAGGTATTTCCCCTCGAGAGTCGCATAATTATTCTTTTTTTTTCTACTAAACGACATTTCTTGCATCTTAGAATGTTTTTTAATTCTTCTTCTATCTCGAATTTAAAACCTTGATACACATTCCAAGCACGAAAATGAATCTTCTCAGTATAGAGGAAAAAAGAAAACAGATTGCAAAATTAATATTCCCCCAACAAAACTACGATGCGGAATTTCCGACTTGGTAAAAATTCGAGGGCACGCGGTCTTGCATGAGTCGACGAATGCGCACGTCTTGTTTCTTTTTCTTCTTCTTCTTTCTTCATCTTCCTGCCGACTGCTTTTGTATTATATATATATATATATATATATCGAGAGTTATTCATTCCTTTGCAATCTTTAATGAACTACCTGAATTCTACTCGATTAAATGTCAGGAATTTAGGACCGCGAAACAAAAATTGAAATGACTTTTTAGAATATTTTTTTTTTTACCCTAAATTATTGGATTCACGTCCCCGTTCTTCTTCCTCTTGTGGTTCCTGTTTAACAGCCATGTGTACAAGTGGAGGAATTTTATGATGCAATGAATGTTGAAAAGGCAGCGTATCTGTCAGGGAGCCTTCTAGCCCCGTTGATTGTGCACGGGGCGCGACTTCCTCAGTCTGCATAATGCCCCCTGAAACAAAAACAAAAAAAAAATAGATAAATCCTTTTGGTTACCAAAATTATTCATTGAAAAAGTATTTTTTTTTAATAATAATCCATAATTTGAGTTGGAAGAAAGTGCTGCATAATACAGACATTTCTCAAGAGACAATTTTCTAGTGTGGCTTTGAGGTGATTGGATGTATATGTATGTGTGTAAAGCGGCCCTTAGGATGTAACATGTCGTACGCACGCGAGAATTCTATGGACATAAGAAAAAAGAATCCCTTAGAGACCAGTTTCTGGTTATATGTGGCGAGTGACAAGGCGAAGCGGTGTAGATTGCCACGCAGCAGTTGCCATTGTAATTCCACTTGGCTGTATTCTTCTCGTCGCGACAACGTTTGCTCCTTGTTCGCAAAGAGTTCTACTACATGAATCGAACGACATTCCTCAAAGTTTTTGATATGCCGTCGTCGCGCGCGCTTTACTCACCATAAGACACTTTTATCAAGAAAATCACAAACAATAAGCGCCGCGCCGCCGCAATCACAGTTATATATACCCTATACAATAAGTAATGTCTATATATCGTTTATGGACTTTATCCTCGTCATCAATATCGATACAACATCAGGAAATGAATATATAAAACTGCTTTTTTCATATTGGGTGGTGACTTTCATTAGAATTGTATTTTTGTTTTTTCTAACCCAACATCTAAAGTGAGACAATTAAATGTGGAATTTCATAAATATTAAGGTAGATAAGAATTTCCTGTTTTTGTGATGGTAAGAATTTTTTTTTTTAGTTAAAAAAACATTCCAATTGAGGAGAAATAACAACTAATTATGGTTTTTGATTTATAAAACTGCTATTTTGAATTAAAATTTTACGTTGGATTTAGCAAATCATCAGAAATTGTATAAAAAATTCCCTCGGAATCTTTTTGAGGAGAATTCTGATAATTCCTATATCTTATCGCATGGTAATTGAAACGGAATTCTTTCTAGACACATCGACATCATTGAAGTACAATACACCCGCAATTCCTATTCCATATTTGGTATTTTCAATCGAATTTCCAAAGATCGAAGCGGCATTTGACCGTCTAACACTGTCACGTGTCAACTGCAAATCGCATTTCAAGATCTTTTCCCTTAAAACCCGCTCTCTTTGGACTTCTCTCTCTCTCTCTCTCTTATATACAGCTGAAATGCTGGAGAATCGTTACATCGCTCTCTCAACGAAGAGAAGTCATTCAACACCAATTCCTTGCCCTTATAAAGGGATCGAATCACCTCAAGGATTCCAACAAATTCATTGTCACAATAAAGAAGGAGTCTCATCTCAACTTAAATGGCTTCAATTTTTGCAAACAATAGAATTGAGTTTCAAACCAAACACAATAATAATAGACAGTTTGCCATTCCGATAAAATCTTACCGAGTTTTAGAATTTCTAAAAAAAAATGTGAAAACAATGTGGATATATATATATGGAAATTTTTCAAGAATCTCTCCTGAGATGTGAAAAACAGTAAACAACTTTATTAGAAGGTAATTTAAATATTTCTATTATTATTATTATTATTATTATTATTGTATTTATTTTCATTAATTTTTTTTTGATATTAATAAATGTATTTGTTTTTCTAGTGATACGGAAAATATATATCTCTGTCCTTTACTATTTCGTGACAATTGTGCATTGGCCTTTAATGTGTGAATTGTTTCCCAACTGTTGTGTGGTTCAACCTAACCTTCAAAAAAAAATATTTTGAAATATTACGAGACAAAAATAAATGCGCGTCGTTTAGAAAAAAAAAATGTTTCACTACTGTGATGATGAATAATTAAAAAAATTTAACAAAAAAAAAAAAAACTCAATAACAATCTAAAAATATTAATAGCATATAAATTTTGTTAAACTTCTCCCACAGCACCGAAACTTTCCTAAAGATTTATTTGAAATGTTCGGAATATTTAATTGCAATGTTTAATGAAAATTGTGTAAAGTGGGACATTCAAATCTTTACACAATTTTCACTAAACATTGCAATTAAATATTCCGAACATTTCAAATAAATCTTTAGGAAAGTTTCGGTGCTGTGGGGGTTTATTATCAAAATGAAAATAGAAATTTTTCAAAGAACGAAAAAAATAAAATTCATATTTGATTTTTAATGAGAAATAAATTTTTGGATGTAATTAAGAGTTTATTTGTTATTGAAAGAAACGATGAGAGGTGAATGGCATTTTTTTTTTCTTTAAGTCTTAATTATGGGTTTATATCATTTTTGAAGCTACAGAAATCATCGGTTTTCGTTTGTACTCATCTGCTCGTAATTGACTGAAGAGTGGCTGTGCCACTTAACTCGATTTACGGCAATGGTGTAATTTACGGTTACGCATATATAATAATATATATATACAAGTGCTTGCATACACTTTCAAAATGATTTATAATAGTAATTCTCATTCTTGTAGTTTTACATAAATATGCATATTTGTATTGAGAAAATTGACTTAGTTTTGTATTTTTTTTTTCTTTCGTTTTTTTTCTTGTATTTTTTTTTTTTTATTTGATTTTATGATTTTTAATTTCTTGGCAAGAAAATTAAAACCTCTTTCAAGTGCTGTTTAAAGTATTATGAACTTTGAAAAGAGGAAAAAATGAGGGAAATAAAAATGTTTCTTTATTTTTATTTTTTTTTTGCCAGAAGAGCGATATTTTACTTGTTTTGAACGACATTGGACGGTTTATAAAAAGCAACGCGACATACCGGCCGGTGTATAATTATTATTATAAGAGAGCGAGGGAGGTGGCCCGATTCATTGAAGACCGCTTATAGAATGATGCAGGCGCGCGTAACAGAAATTTATTTTTTAGCTATTTTTAGGTTTGCTTGGCGCTCTGCCACTATTTTAGGTTCTCTCAAATTTCTCACTCCATATTTGGAATTATGTGCGAGCCAATATATTTTGAATCGCGTCCTTCTTTTTTTTCTTTTTTAAAACCATCTTTGGCTCTTGTTTTTGATCTATCTCCAAAATATAATATATTCTTAATTAAAAAAGGGGTATATTAAAAAGCAAAATTTTTTTTTCTATTTAAATTATATTCTTATTAATTTTTTTTTTTTGAATTGTGACAGCGGTGGGATAAACATAATTAAATTACAATCTGTATTAAAAAGACTTTCAAATGCTCCAGAGTATCTAAAATATAAATTTAGAAAAAAAAGGTGACAGCGGTGGGATCGGCGCGTCAGTATTATAACTAAATTAAGTTATAATTTATTCAAAACTAAAATTAGAAAAAAATTGATATCAGTGATAACATCAATGTTTCAAACTGAAACTTTAAAAATTGTATCCCAAATTAAAAATTTTCGATATTAAAAACAAAAATATTTCTCTATTGGTGACAGCGGTGGGAATGATAAATGTCACTATTAATTAATTTTTTAAATATTCTCTTCCTCTCATCTCAGTTACGATTTATGTGGTAATTAATAGCTCGTATAATATAAAACAAAAGAATATACATGTCGCGAAAGGGGATTGTTTGGGCAATAAATAGTATTGTTAATTTGTGATACTGAAAAAAAGTTATGTAGGCATAAAAATATATAAAAAAAAATGATGTTACATACGCTAAATCACCGATGCAATTATACATAAATCGGTAAAATAATCTGATAATTGAACTGTCATCTTGAGCGCGAGCGAGTGAAAATTACATGCGGCAAAGTTGGATGCCCACGTATAGACCATAAATAATTGGACCAACCAAGTGAGCCAATTAAGGGAGACCTACTATAACTATATATATATATATATATATATTTATACGATCGTCAGGTTCAAAAGAACAGGAAACCCATTCCATTTGATCTAAGTATCTCGATACGAATGACACTTTAATGTCGAAATCGAATGCCAATGAATATTCATAATGTCTCGCACTGGCATTTCAAATGTTGCTCTCTTGCATATATACACGACAGGGGCCACATTTAGACATAGACGAAAAGATGAAGGATAAGTCCTAAGATAAGACTAAGGTCCAAGAATGACTATATCATTTCGTAATCAATTAACCGATCGATATTAATCATTATTTTTATTATTTCATTAGCCTTTTTAGATTGTTATATTATATTATATTTTTATAATATATTATATATTATTGTTCAGGATTATTATTATTATAATCACTATCAAACATCGTCATTATTAAGTACTTCAACAAAATTGAAAATTGAATTCAAAATTATTTTATTTTTGATATAAGAATAAAATACATTGATTATATTCTCAATTAGAAAATAAGATTATTTTCTTAAATTTAGAATAAATTTTCTTGGAGATGATTAAAATTAATTAGAGGCAAGTGTATTTAATAAAAATGTTCAAGTTCAATGGTATAGGCAAAATGGTGGCAGCGGTGGGATAATCTTAGTTCAAGGATACAATGAATACATAATTACAATATATATTATTATTATACCTATTACTGTAATTATTTATTATTATTATTATTATTATTATTATTATTGTTATCATTATTATTGTTATTATTATTATAGTTGCAAAAAAATCCTACTATAGTTCCTCAAATATTTCGCTAGTAACATTAAAGAAATTTTTGATAATCTTAAACGTTTTGTACTAAAAATAAATTTTAAATGTTTCTAATTTTTAAAATAAATACACTGAAAAAAAATGTATTTAATTCAAATAATCGGTTACTTGATTATTAGCAAAGAAATATTTACTTGAACAAAATAAGTTTTAATTGAATCAATGGTATTTGTTTTAAATAAAGAAATATTTTTAGTTCATATAAAAATTATTTGGTTCAAGTAAATATTTATTTGATAATAGTCAAGTAACCAATTTTGAAATTTTAAAATATTAAAGAGGAACATTAAAAAAACATTTTTGTAATACACGTTTATGATTTGAAAAAAAATAATAAATTTAAAAAATATCTAATTCGACTGTAAAAGAAGCATTTAGCAAAAGAATTTTGGGGTTCTCGCAAAAAAAAAAAATTTAACACAAATCTCACCTGAAATGGGAAAAGTAGATTCGGGCACCATGTAAAATGGAATTATCACTATCAATTTTTAACGAAGAACAGTAAAAACAAAATATCCACTTTTCACTTTCTTCTTCTTTCTTTTTTTTTTATTTAATCACAAAAGTTAAGACACGTAAAAAACAGTATCACCATTTTTTTCATTTTCACATTATAAAATTTATAATTGAACACAAATATCAGTAGTAAAAAATAATATAATAAAAAATAAAATAATAAAACATAGTACTACACAAAATTTTTTTTTTGGAGACTTTGTCACTATGAGGAAATTGTTGTAGTGAAGATGGTTTCGGAATAAATGAAAGAAGACTTTTGAGGGAGGCACGTGCTTCGCTATATTGGAACGTTGTGAGAAAAGAGCCGAGAAGAAGGATAGAGAGAGAAAGAGAGAGAGACAGATGAAGGGGGGGATGGAAGATGATAAGTGGTTCGATGAAGAGAGAAAAAGAGAGAGAGAAAGAGAGAGAGAGGGGGAGGGGGACAAAAAGATAGAAAAAAAAGGGATACGGAATATACAGTGGACTGTATTGAAGCAGTTTTGGCACTGTAACTCGCGTGCCAAGCAAGAATCACCAACCCCAGCATCCGAGAGAGTGTTCTCAGCGCGTGAGGTGTGAGCGGGGGCGCGGGCGTATATTCTCGATTTGGGCGGATGGAAATCTGAGATTGCTCCATATCGGGCCGTTAGCAGTGTGCCACCAGAAGATGTTCCCTAATAGCAAACTCTGACAGGCTCGGATTTAGAAGAAGATGAAACAAATTCATTAACCTTATAAATATAATAATAAATATATCACCGCAACGAATTTTATTTCAAATTTAATTCTATTTAATTTATTGTTGTAATTATTATTTTCACTTGAAATTTTGATAAATTATTATCCTATATGAGAGTAATAAATCCCGAAAATTTTAACTCATTTCAACAAAATGTATTTTATATTTTAAATGCCAGAATTGACTTGACAATGTTTTACTTATTTAATGCAAAAAATTTAATTTTGAAGAGATGCCAAATTATATAGTTTTAAATTAAAATCGATAGTTTGTAATAAAAGCATCATTATTAGCGATTATGAATTAATTTAGTAATGTGATTTTCTTATATTAATACGATTTTCAGAATAAGTTACGGAAAATTTTAATATAAAAAGTAATTTTTTAAATTCATTGACGTTTTTTTTTTATAATAATGAAGGCTTTAATATGTCCTTTAAACCAGCCCTGGTTTTTCTTGTTCTTTCTTGACTTGACTCTGTCTTGTTCTTATGAAAGCAACAGACCCACAAAGGTATATATTTAACCCCGCGCCAACCAAACCAAGAATCGACAAACGTGTTTGAGACGCGCGCAACAAACTCTACTGACTTTAAGTTTTATTTTTTCCTTCAATTATTCCCTACTTTTTCAATTTTTAGTTTAGTACAAATTTCAAAGAATTCAAATATAAGTCACTGAATTTTATACCCTTTTAGTTACAGTAATTAATTTTTTATTTTAAGCAACTGTTTTCTTTTTTAAATGAAAAATATAAATTTCCTTTATTAATTTTCACAATTTTTACCTTTAAACTACCATAGCGGTCTCTCAGACCGTAGTAAATTCTTATATGTATAAGTAACTTCTGCGCATCTGCCTGCGCAACTAGTTCTTTCATAGTCAACATAACCTGCAATTATTGTTTTAACGCTAAACGTATACTTTTTTTAACAATTAGCAGTTTAAACGAAAATTTAAATCAAAAAATTTATAAATTGGATTTTTTTACTTTAACAGATTTTGTTTCAAATTTACAATGAATTAACCAAAAAAAAAAAAAAATAAACTAAACTAAATTGAGCAAATATTTTCTGGCAAACATTCCTTCTTATATCCATTGCACGTGACCAGTTAACGCTCACGCTTCTGATCTTGGCCAAATTTTTTTTTTTTTTCACCAACCAAGGTATCGATACGATCGTGCATCGAAATCGTGATCGAATACAATCGTGAGATCGTGTTACTGATCCCACCAAAAATAGAGAATAAAATTATTTCCATAAAAAGTAATTTCTGTTTTATACCTCTAAAAAATTTTTAATTCAGTTTAAAATATTTTAAAAAAATTGTAATTATTATTATTGTTATTATTATTATTATTATTGATGACCAACATTATAATCATCATAACGATAATAATAGATTTTTTTCTGTTCTATTTATTATATACTGAAATATTGTACATTTATAGAACGATTTCCTAAAAACGTATGTGGGTGATAGATGTTTATGTCTGGGTTTTCTGTAAATAATAGAAGGTAATATTCCGTATTTTGGCTGGCTAACAGATCCTCTTTTACTGCGTGTGTTTCAACACTAAAAATATCCGAAATATTTCCCTAATTCTAGACAGTTACGAAGCTTCTATTCGTAGAGTGAATAACGATTTACTCAACTTCTCTCTGTCAAAAAGTATATATCGGTTTAATATATATAGAACAAGAGTCACATTTTTTAAATAATATTATAAAACCAAAAATGTACAAGATCCCAAAAATTTTTGATTTTTTAAACTGCTAGATGCCAAAAAAAGGACATTTAATACTTTTCCGGGTCTGGTGGACCGCTGTATCTTTTTTTTAATGTTCTTCCAATAATTTTAAATTATATGTAATTCTCTCGCAGTTCAAAATGAGTCAAACAACATCGAAAGTGGCGCCACCAATCCGACTCATTTTTTTTTTTAGGTTATGACGACTCAAAGAACTAGTTTGCGCAAGCAGATGCGCAGAACAATTGCATCGCATCTTTCTCAAAAAATATGTTTGGAAATTCTACTGTACTTTAAAAAAAAAGAGTATAAAAAAAATGTTTTATTTAATATATATAACTTTAAACTGTTCTTGGACATAAATTTTTTGGCTAACAATTAGGATTCCACTTAAGCGACGCCGAGAGGACACTTCTTTCGATATCTCACAGATATGGCAGCAATTTAGGGTTCTTATCCGTGCGCGAGAACGTGATTTTCGGCATTTGGTGTACCTGACTATTACATTGAAATACACACACACACATATATATATATGTATATGTGTGTTTGAGTGCGATAAATCGTGCAGGTTACGAGGCGGACATTATCCGCGGCAAAAGGCCTGGATTGCACGTCATCCTGTGCTACTGTGGGAAACCTAAAGTCGCTGTGTGTGCGCGCGGCAAGCTTTCAAGGCTCATTAACCCGGCAAAAGCGATAGCGTGCCATACAGAATTAAATGTTTTAAAAAAAAGTATGTACGTATCTTGCCGCAACTGCTCATCGTCTTTGTATATATATATATATATATATATATATACTGGATAAAACACTCGGAGAAACTTATAGACGATTACTGATAACATTTGGAAACTTCTCAGAAAAAGGAGGAATGTACATTCTTTTATTTTTGTTAAAAGATACCAAAAGAAAAAATAAATCGATTTACACTTTTTTCGGGGGATTTTGATAGAAATAAGTTAGGTTAGGTTAGAATTGATAAGATTAGGTTGAGGTTAGATTAGGATAATTTAAACCAGTTTGAGGTTAGATTAGGATAATTCAAACAAGTTTGAGGTTATGTTAGATTAGTCTAGATAATGTTAGATTAGGTTAGATTGAGGTTAAACTAGTTTGTAGTAAATTGAAGACAGGTTGAGCTAAGTTAGATTCAACCATATTAGGTTATGTGACAAAGCCCAAAGTTGGAATAAGGTCAGATCACAAAATAACCTCAAAACAGCGTCAAAATCATAAAATTTCAAATTACATAATAATCTTAAACTCAAGGTCAAGGAGCAAACCAACTGCTTTTGTAGATGAACCAAAGGTTCGTTTATTTTTACAAATGTCTCTCGTAGAAACTGGCAGGTTGATTTTGTTCAAATATTTGATATCTCAGTAAAAGCAGAATCAAAAACTTAGAACTCGGAATTAAAATTTCCAAAGCAAAAATATAAATTAGAATGACTTACTTTAATTTTAAAATGTAATTTTGTTACTCCTGAAATCAATTGGTTGGGGAACGGACCAAGATTGGTAACTTGCTGATCCAAGCCTGATAAACCCCAAAATTGTCAGGAAACTAGAAATAGGTTATGATAACCAAAAGTTGGCGCAAAAATGGCTCAAGTCGACAAACCCCAATATTGGCGGAGGAATGGCTCAAGGTTGTCGAAAGTTCAAAGAAAAACTGCCTCAAAGCTGGGAAGATCCAAATAGAGTAAAAGTGGCTCAAAGCTGGCGGAGATCCCAATGGAGTAAAACTGGCTCAAGTCTGATGAAGACCAAAAAGAGCAAAACTGGTCCAAAGCTGGCGAAGATTCAAAAAGAGTAAAGGCTGGCGATTGGCGTTGAACTTGAATAACTTTTCTTGACTAAGAGTTAATACTGCTCCCTCTGAGCAGGAGTTTTATTTGAGGGTTGACAATTGATGAAAGAACTTTCTTGCAGAGGAAGAATTTGAATTTTCTTGAAGAGGAACCGATGATAGTGACACCCAAATAAAAACTGACTTGTTCCTCGTAAATGTATGGTTTATATAGTAGAAAACTAATCAATAAAGTTAGGATCAATATTTTTTAGCAAGGGGTTGGCCAGAATCACGCGATTACAATACCATATTTGGTCATCTTAGTATAATTATTTTTAACAGAATCGAGAGGGCTTGTGGCACGTGTGAAAAATAGGGGTTTGTCATGCCACAGGTCGATAATTTGTAGACATAATGTCGCGAGGACGTGACACAAGTAAAAAAAAAATAAATTTAAATAAAAAAAATTCAAATATTCCAAAAAAGGTAACATTTTTTCGCAGTGTATATATATATGTATATATAATCCGAGGTTGAAAATATTTTTTAACATGAATGGAACAAGAGATAGTATCCGGTTTCATCGCATTGAAGTTTTAAGCGTGGGTGTAATGATTTTTTGGTCTGATATTCAATGTCTTTTAAAAGGGGCAACGATTCAAACAAAAGTCTGTATCACCTTTTTTTTGCCTCAAAAAAGAAAATTGATATTTCAATAAACTAAAAATTGTCTATTTTGCAAAAATACAATTCATACTGTTATACAATACAATCTTTAAATATTTTTTTAATTTATAAAATTGTTTTTAAAAACTACTATATATTATTAAAATATATTAATATAAAGTTCTATAAATTGGATAATTATATTCTTAAATAGAAATCAAAGATTATATATATTTTTCTTCGAATACATTAATTGTATGTATATATGGTATTTATTGAATAAAGTGCGCGACATGTATTCCTTGTGGCAGCTGTTATTTCATAGGTAATATCGGTGATTTTACGTGCCTCGAGTGGCGCGGAATGTGGAGGCGTACTCGCATTATATTCCTTATAGGTTAAGCCAACCCGCCCACTTGTCGTGTCCCAATACCTGGCAGCGATATGTCAACAACTATACACTTTCCACTCGTGGATATTGACTTTATCGCACCTCTTCAGATTCGATATTTATACACAATTATTATCGATTTTACTTATCACATATATTTACATATAATGTGTTGTATTATTTTTCACAGAATTCAAAATTTTTCATTTTATTTGA